AATTTTTAAGAAAAAGCTTTTTAATTTTGCAAACATTATTTTTAATTTGATTCGGCATAATTGTATGTACAATCATTAAAAAATATTGTAATTTATATTACAATAATCTCATAAAAAATTTAAAAAGCTTTTTTTTATTTTTACAATTTTCATTGTAAAATTATACAGTGCAATGTAATGTTACCAGAAAATAGAAAATTTTATTTATATTACACGAATTGTGATTCTACTTCACTGTTTTCTAATTTTGAAAATAATACTTTTCAATTTTACAAAATGAGACTGATGTATAAAAAATCAACAATGTCCTTCATATTTATTTTTACTAATTTTTAGTCTATGGTTGTTTATTTGTAATAATAAATTCGAGGCATAATTTATCTTTTATAAATTTTAATATTATGCTCAAACGATCATTTCGAAATCAATATATTTGAATGAGTATATGTTAGACTTTTCCATCAATAAACAGCATAAAATAACACAATTAATGTAAATTATAAATAATAAGCCGTAATGCTCAATCACCACATACGATTAGCTTATAAGAATAATAAGATGTTGAATCACCTATCGGTCGTACGGTATATATTATTTTCACTTTAAATCATCTGAGTTGAACAAATTAGGTCTACGTGAGATACCAAATCTAGTCAGCGCTTCATAACAAAAAAATGACAACAGATATTAAATCAAATCTTTCTTTTTTATTATTTCAATTCAAGTAAAATTCAAGGAAAGTATTGTAATTTTACAAACTTAGCTAATCTAAAAATATTTGTAATATTACAAAACCGTTTTGTAAAATTAGTAACCTCACTGAGCTATATATGTTTTGTAATTTTACTATACCCGATTGTAATTTTAAATAAATGTTTTGCCTATTAGCTTCCAATACATTTCTTGTAAAATTACAATAGAAATTTTTAACAGTGTAGACAAGCGCGTTAAGAATGCTTTATATTATTCGCTTTTTGTTCGGCTGTTTGTTTGAATTATTAAGTTATCGCTGTTATATTTAGTCGGTACTCTCGTTACGAACAGTATGAAGTACAGAGTATGAAATACGACGTATATATATGTATGTGTACAGTTTTAGATCTATATATGTTTATTTAAAGTTTATATGTATGATTTATATTAATGCCGGATTCAGTAGTCAACTACCGATGATTGATGTTAACAACTTTCGCGGGTTATTTCTCACCCGGGTTTAGCCTTTCATGTTTAACACATAAATTTCAGATGGAAATCCGCATCATGTGATTTTCAGTCAATTGCTGGTCTCTTATTTTGTAAACTTAGTAGTGCAAAAAAAATAAAAGTTAATACACTTATGCTCATGATAATTGTAGCTAAATTTATACAGAGAAAAAAAAATAAACTTGAATCAGGAAAATAATTTTCAAGAACTTTATTGTCTTGATTTGAGTAGAAAAATTATTAAACTAAGAAATTTTTCATGGTTTTAGTAAATTTTACTTGATTCAAGAATTTTTGATTTTGATTCAGGACAATGAATCAGGAAATTCTTCAAAATTATTTTCTTGGTTCAAAAACTTTTCTCTTGATTTAAGTTACTTTTTTTTTTCATTGTATGAATAGTAAATATCACAAGGATGAAATACTGATAGTAAAAAATCTTTTGTAATTATTGCTTTAAAAAAATTTTTTGTTTAATATTTAAATCCTTTGGGCGTGACATTACATTTAACACAACTGTATCATTTGACGCACAAAACTGTTAAATATTTAATACAAAAATTTTTAACACAAATTTTCTAAAAGCGATAATGGAAGAAAATTTCCAACTATGTAAAATAAAATTAAAGTAAATTATAAAATTGGCTTGTTGATGTTGAGTCATGTAAAATTACATATGAGCAATGATGTGAAAAAATAGAAAGTTAATTATGAAAAATTAATCGTATAAAAAATAAATATTTTATTTATTTATTTCTTTATTTATTCAATAAATAAATAAATAAATAAAATATTTATAATTCAATTAAATTAAATATTGATAATTCAATTATTATAAATAAATATAATAGTTAATTATAATATTTATAATATCTAATAAATTGTAAAAATAAATTATGATTAAAATTTTTCATTTAAAATAGTTAATTTATTTTATTTAAAATTTATGGTGAAAAATGTTTAGTGTTTATATGACAGTGTTATGTAATGAAATTTTTCTTTACATATTTATTAATTATAAAAAATCGAGTATGATTTTATTTAAATTTTAACGATTGTAAAAGATAATTCGAGTGCGGTCATTAAGTGTCTCGTTCGATTTTTGCAAAAGGCCCAGGGAAATTTCGGTAATTAGTCTGGAGCCCAGGTATATTAAAGAGATTAAATAGATGAATGGTAGTTTTGTTATTCGTAAGCAAACTCACTTATACTTAAAATAAGAAATACTTAAAAATAAAGAACATTAGATAAAAAGATTTATTTTAAACCAAAAGATTTTAGAATAATTTAATGACAAAAATTTAGTGTTGAGAAAAATATCGAAATAAATTTTAATATTGCAATTTCCGAAATAATTTTTAGACAACAAAAATTAAATATGAAATGAGAAACAAATAAAAAAAAAAAAATAGAACTTGAAAGTTAAATAATTTAAAATAAACAAATTTTAAACAATTGAATTCTAAAATAATACAACAAATTTATAAAACGATAAAACAGAAATATTTCTACAAATAAATAATTAAATTCAAGGAAACGTAAGAAATGTTAGATTCGAGTACATATTTATTCATATGATTTTAATAAATAAATTAATGTAGACAGTACAAATGTATGTCTTTGTCTATGCGTAAATGCGCTTACGTATACACAAACACATAGATGAATAATAAACAATATATGTATAGATTTAAACAATATGTGTATTAAAATTATTCAACTACATTAATTTATTCAAACAAACCTATCATTCTCAATAAACTAAAACTCGGAAGTTTCCGGTCTATTAGCCTAACACGCTAGGACCAAATACTTAAACACATTAAATATTTTAAATGTAAAATTAATTAATTATCCTAAATTAATATTTTTTACATAACAACAGTATATGCCTAAAGAAGACAAAAATTTTTTGTAATTTTTGATCTTATGATAAGGTCGATATTATGTTGATAGAATTTTTATCAACCGAAAATTTTTTTAATTCATTTATTTTGATAAATTAGAACACTTGGTTTATTTTTAAATTAATTGAAAAAAATTTTTTAATAAAAATTTAAAAAATTGTATTAAAAATAAATTATAATTGTAATTTAAATTTACTGAATAAAGATTTGATGTTATCAATGATTTCAACTATTAGGTTTATGTTATAAAAACTACCAGAAACTTGAAAGCGTGTAATTACAGCCATATTGAAAGAAATAACTTTGAAGTTCTGGATTCGGATAGAAAAGGAAGACCGCAGATATACACACATATATTTTTTTCGAAGTATTTGCAGGGTAAAAAATAATTAGTTTAATGACGCGCTAAATAGAAAGCCAGTAAAAGGCGTAAAAGTGTCAGAAGTTAATAATAATAATTTGAAATTTTTCATATGGCTCGTAGTCGGTACTTTGGTACATATACATGAACACGGGTTCTCTCAACTTGGTTCCCTTTGTTTTATCTATGTTCTATTTTCGCAAACGAAACTCTCAGCATTACTACAAGCGTTTTTCTTTCTCACACTCCACTTTGTCGAGGGTGAAAAGTCGCTTGGAGGCTTCAGGCTTCTGGAAAAATAAAAAAATAGATACTATAAAAGTCCGCTGGTTTTACATTCTCTTTATTGTTATTATTATTTTTTATTACACAACCCAGTGTTTTAAATTTCCGCTTTGTAAGACGTAACATTTTATACTACCTGATAAATCAACTTCTCTATTGTCTGCTACAACTGTAGTCAACTGAAAGTTTTTAGAACTCTATCTTATTAAAAATATTCTTCATTTTTATTTAATTTTCAATTTTTTTTTTTCAAATTAAAAAAATAAATTTTTACCACATTTGATACTATCTAAACATATAAATAAATTACTATTACAATAAATTCAAAAAAATTTACATCGCTAAAAAAAATTCTCCGTAAAATATCCAGAAGATTTTTTATTTACGACTTATATTTATCTTTTTCTCATCTAAAATCTAAATCCGAGCGTCTGGTACGTGGTTGTTCGCGTGGAAACTCGATTGCCCGAGAGCTAAAGATTTATATGCGATATCTTAATGCCAATTCGTTAAATCTCAAAAATACCCGTACCTATTACTCAGTCGACCGCGAAAAATCTGAGAAAGTATAAATTTTTTTTTAAAAAGTACCTAATACCCGCCAAAAGTTATAAATAGTATCATGCGACAGTCGATATTTACGGCATCATTAATTTTGGAGATCGGTAAAGCAGAAATTTATCTGCTAATTACTATTTAATGAGTATAGTTTTTCTAACCTAAAATTTATTAAGAATTACATTAAAGTTCTTTAACTGTGTTTTAAGAGCAATTTAATTAAATCTGTTATTATTAATGAAATTAAATACACTAAAATCAAATTAAGTACGTGAGTTAATAAGTGAACATAGAAGATATTTGACAACAAAATTATAAACAGGTAAATTTTTAATATTTAGATTTTTTAAAATTATTTAAAAAAAAAAATTATTTACTCGAAAGAAAAATATTTTGTTACAATTATTGACAACTAACTTCAGTATTAAAATTTTTGTTTTTTAAAAGTCAATTTTTATTTTTTTTAAATGCTTATTTATTTTAAGATATTGACATTTACTAAATAAGTAATAAAATTTTAATTAAAATAGCTTGGAGAATAAAATCATTAATTGTCTTCTTTGTTATAAATAAAGGAATTTCTACAAAATGGACAGACTAACCCCCAGAATCTCCAAAGATCGCTTTTTTAATGTTTTTGACGAGGTATCCTTTGATATAGAAGCCCAGCGAGCAAATTGCCACTCAACAATGAATAGCCCACCAAAACCTGCATGTCAAGATTGGAGCGAGTCCTTAATATCAAAATCAGCTTTTACTAGATATTCAGCAAGCAATCAATCATCTGCCACACTAACTACTGAATCACATCCAACCGATGTATCATTACATCAATTACCAGTCACGAGTTCAAGGGATGTTACCTTTTATCGGCCTTCAGTTATCAGTTATAATGTAGCACATACTTCAACTACTAGATCAAGTTATCGTGATTCATCTCGACCTTCAGATTTTTATTCCACATATTCATCATATCATCAAGATAGCAGATCAGACCGCTTTAGACCGTGGATGGAAGTGCCGGTCTACCAAGATCCAATTACCACATCACAAAATGAATGTCCATGTTCAAATTCATGTTGTGCTCCAACATATGATAGATATGATTATGAACCTTCATTTGTAAGGCATAAGGATTATCCCACTAGCCGTGACCCGTATGAAAGATACGAATCGCTAGTAGCTAAATCAGCGTTCTCGGTTTACAAACCAAAAAGTTACGATCGGTATCCTAAGAGACCGGTCCCCAAATTTCCGGGAAATTACAGCCAGTATTCTTCACCATGCGAAAGCGAACAAGTATACGCTCGTCCGCATGGAAACAGAAGGTACGAACCTTATTCGAGCTGCGAGCCTCTGAGTATGCGTCTTGGACCAAAAGTTGACAATTCGCCTCCAAGCAAGTTCAAAAAGCTGCCGTTCTACGACTTCATAAGCGAGCTGATGAGACCGAAGAAATTGGAAGCTTTTTCAGGATTCTACCAACAAAACGAGTTCCGTTTTAAGCTAAATGATAGGGAATTCAACACCTTCAGCACGACTGAGTATCAGGTCAACGGAAAGTGGAAGTACAAGAACCAGGTGCTGGTCAGGTTTGCGCTGGATAAAAATACTGAGCTGGAAGACAAATTGCCACCGGGTTTATCCATTTCAGTGAACGGAGACGTGGTGCTTGTGAACGAGGTTGTTAATGAGGACTCTAAAGTTCAGAAACAGGGACCTATTGATATCAGTTTTTCGATAAAGCTCAAGCCTTACAAAACTAATAAGATAGTGATCGGCTGGACTGAAGAAAGGAGAAGGAATCATGAATTTGTTGTAGGAATTTATTTAGCGCGGAAAAATACCTGCTCTGATCTGTTCAACCGGGTCCAGGTTTTGAATCGCAAGGATTATGATTTTGCAAAGAATGTTGTCTTGGATAAGCTCAGCGAAGATGGAGCAGAAATCGCGATGACTGATTTGTGCGTGTCGCTAGTTTGTCCTCTGGGAATGATGAGGATGAAGACGCCTTGTCGTGGTTCTCAGTGCGTGCATTTGCAGTGCTTCGACTTGTTGATGTTTTTGCAGATGAACGAACATAAATCGGCTTGGAACTGCCCGATCTGTAACAAACCTACTCCCTTTGAGGATATTGTCATTGACGGGTACTTTGATGACATTTTGAAGTCCAGTAAGCTCAAGCCGGAAACCGATGAGGTTAAGATTAGCAGAGATGGATCCTGGGATAATTTTGTCTCGCGAGAAAAGTCTCGCGAGAACAAGAGGAAGGAAAAGTCTAGAGAGGAAGTTATTGATGTTGAATCAGATGATTCTTTTGATGATGTTTCGCTTATTGATTTGGTTTCTGATGAAGAAGGTGAAGGAATCGGTGATAGGGTTTTTTTTAAACAGGAACCTAATGATCTGGAAGTTAATTATGGTCAACACTCGCCGTATTTTTGTATTATTGATCAGACTGTGCCTTATGATAGCAATTATTATTTTTAAGAAATTTATAAATTTTTTATATCTAATATTGTTTAAGTATTAATATTAATTTATGTTTAAGTATTAATATTAATTTATAAGAAATTTATTGTGATGATAAAATTTATATTTTTCATTCAGTGGATTTAATTTTGTAAAAAATAAATATTTAATTAAGTTACTACTTATTTTTGTTAATTATTTGAGACCCAGAATTTCCAATTGGTTCTGTATTTTTATTTTATTTTAATTTAAGGTAAGATTGAAATTATCTTTTATTTTTGTCCAAGATTGGAAAACATTATTTTCACTCTTATCTGGCATAAAATATTAGAAAATTAAATAACATTAATTATATTTATTATTGACTCAGTAATTTCATTTTATTTTTTAAATTTATTAGTATCATTATTAAAGCATCCATTATAATTAACAATATCAATATTACATAATTATTATTTTGCAATCTGGAGAATTATATTTATTTTATAAATTATTTAAGAGTATTCCAATTGTCAGGGTCAATTTTTTTAAGCATTAGATACAAATTATAAAATTCAACAAATATTTAAAAATTTAACGTTTAACTCATAAATTTTGTCCCACAAATTCATTTAGTTTAAATTTAGTCAAAAAACTAAAAAAAAAATTTCTTATAATAATTTGTAGAAAAAGTGTAAAAACTTTTGAGAAAAAAATTTCTCAATTAAAAAAAATTTTATTCAATAAATCAACAAAGTTAAAAATAAAAATTTTTTCTATGTATTTTTAACAAAAAAATTCTTCACTCCAAATTTTATTTTTATAAAAATAATTTTACTTTCAAAATAGAAAAAAAAGTACACACAAGGTCACGATTGAACTGACACTTGTGGTGATTTTAGTAACTAAAAATTTATTATCATCAACTCCGAAACTGCGTCAGTTATATATTTGTTATTAATAAGTTCGTTTTTCGAATTAAATTGAAATTAATATAAAAAAAAAATTATTCTTGACGATTAAGTTATTCTAAATTATAAAAATCTTTGCATTTTATTTTTTGCTCTAAAACTTCTCTGTTTACAACGCGCGCGCATGCGCCTAATAAGTGTTTAGAAGAGAGGTATATTTTGTTTTAGTTTTGTGCGATTTGTAATATTAAAACCGGCATTTTTAGTGAGTTCGAGTTCGTTCTAGAATTTATTTGTAAAATTTTAATTTACGATAAGAAAACGCGTATGTATACTTGTGATCTACGCAAGTAAAATCGCGTAAAATCTACGCCCGTGAATGAATCCACACATAAATCATAAACCTGAAGTAATAAAGCCAGGTTGGGAACATCATTAACCACATTCGGAACCGCTAATTAATCTACTGCTATTATAATTACAATAAGGTACACGTGAGTCTAACATAATTTCATATGTAATTAGCAATTACAATACCTACAAAAATGACTGTTCATAATTTCAACAAGAGTAGAATATGCTATCATGCTAAGTGCTTGTATCTCAAAACTCGAAATGAATCTATTGTTAATTTCCCCCAGCAATTGTTTATTTCATCTTTTGTTCTGCTGGATTACATTCCAACAATCCGTAACAGCAATTTATCATTATAATTCTTAATACAAAGAGAATTAGTTTTTTTTTAAAATAAAAACTTAATAATACTAAAATTAGCCGACATGTTTAAATTTTTATGATTTTTCTTATTAAAGAATTATTACAAAAAAATGAAAAAAAAAAAATTTTCATTTATTAAAAACTTCAAAAACTAAAAGTGCAATTTTTAAAAATTTTTTTTTTAGCAATAATTTAATAAATTAAGCAAAATAAAGAATCAAAAATGTCGGCTAACTTTATTATTATAAAAACTTACTGTTTATTAACAAATATTAATGATGATTGACTATTTTCACAGTTTTAATTTTATCTTTAACAGATTAATTTTAACTTTTTTTCTTGATAAATAAATTACTAAGACAATAAAAAGTGAAAAAGATAAGAAAAAATTCCACTGTAGGAATTACAAAAAATAAATAAAAAAAAAGACTAAAATTTCTTTGAATATTATTTCAGTATCAATTTTTAAAAATAAAAAATTGTCAGGTGCACGGAAAGAACAAGATGCCACTGGATATCATCTCAAATTATACTCAGTGATATCTGTGGTGAAAAAAATTTCAGATAGTACACTGAGAAAAAAAAATACCTTTATTAAGAAAATTTTCTTGATACAAGAATTTATGTTCTTGAAAATTTTCAAAAATATATATTTTTAGCCCAAGAAATTATTAAATTGATTGAAATAATTTTTAGTTAATTTAAATAAAGCTATTCTTTTGTTTATCTATATTATCCAAAGATAAATATTGATGTTCTTCTCTTCAGAAATTAATAATTAATAATAGAATATTTGATCGTCAGCGAGTTTCTTGAGCCAAGAAATTGTTAATTGAGCAAAAGTCTTTTTTTTTCTCAGTGTAGTTGAAAAAATCTAGATTATACTGCGTGATATCTGGATTATACTCATTGTAATCTGGATTTTACTAGCTAGTAACTGGTTACTATCTGAAATTTTTTTCACTCAGTATAATCTGGAATGATATCCAGTGTCATATTGTTCTTTCCGTGTGTCTGCTAATTTAAAATTTCTAATATTCAACTTGAATACTTGATTATCAAATAAAGTGTCTTATGAATATTTTTTTACTTCATAGCTGGATTTTTCCAAGCACAATGTATCACATAGAAGCTAATAAATCAACAAGTAGAACTCATCATCGGACCCTCTCAGATATTTCTGTCGGATTAGCTCAAATGTCAAATGAACTGTCAGCTATAAGAAAAACTCTTTTTGCAAAAAATCTAAAATTCCAAAATCTTCCGTTTTATAAAACTCTGGAAGTATTGATCAGACCAATAGAATTATCATCATCAATAAACCCTTCTTACCAGAAACTTCACCTCTGCTTAACCTCTCAAGAAGTTAATTATATTCGTCAGTCTTGCTGTCAAGTAAATGGAAAAAATATTTACAATGTGAAGGTATTTGTGCGTTTTGCTAGAAACAACCCCAATTGGACTCAACCAGACTCTTTTCCAGAAAATTTGAGAATTTGGATAAACAACAACTACTGTAATCCATACGCACTTGCTCCGGAGAAGTATAAGTCGGAGTATTTTGATTCACCATTAGATATCACCTCGTTATTGAAATTATCCTTTATTGATATTAATAAAATTGAAATATTGTGGCATTCTTCAGCGAGCCCATTTGCCGTCGCAGTTTATCTGGTAAAAACAATGACCAGCCATGATCTGTTCATTAAATTATCAGCTAAAGATGTTCGAAGTGCGGACTATACTCGAAGCGCGATCAAGAGCAAGTTTGAAAAAGACAGCGAAATAATTCCAACTGCTATAGAAATGTCTCTGATCTGTCCTCTGAGTATGAAAAGAATCGTAACTCCCTGTCTCTCTACAAAATGCAAACATCTCCAGTGTTTTGACGCTGATGCCTTTCTGCAAGTGAATGAGAAAGCTCACAATTGGAAATGTCCGATTTGTGATTCGTTTGCGGATTTTGAAAGGTTGGTAATCGATGACTTCTTCAGGAAAATTTTGTCGTCGAAGAAATTGACCGGTGACGATATACGATTGCTCCAGGATGGTTCGTGGGAAAACGCTGGCAAAACTAAGACCATCGATTTGGATGCTACTATTGATGTTGAGGATAATGATACTATTCTGATAGATGATTCGGATGACTCGATGATAATCGATTCCATTGAAGAATTGTTCTTGAAAACAAAATTGTCTTGTAATTGCCATTGTGGTGAACCTGATATTGTAATTATAAAGAAAGCAGCTTAAATTTTTTAAATTTATGAATTAACAATTTAAATATCATTGCTAGATTTTTAAGTCTAGAATATATCAAGCTGGTACTTGAAAATTAATTTTATACTTGAAACTATTTAATTTTTTAAATCAAATAATTCATAGAAATAAAGGATTAGTAATAAATATTTTTATAAAAATTTACAAAAAAAAAAAAATTAAAATTCTTATCTTTAAATAACTTTTGAGAAAAATTTATAAATTAATATTTACATTTTTAACTTTTACAACAGAAAAATTTTAAACTGGTTTTTGAAATTTTTTTCTGTATTTGTAAATAATTAAAAATAACTACTAATGATAATAATTTATAACTTTATGATGAGTGAATGATAAAAAACTCTTTATAATTTTCTAATGAGATGAAATAGCTCTTGACAAATAATACATTTCGAGATTTTTATTTTATTAAAATGATTCAAATATTTAAATGTATGTTGTGAGCTACTCCAATTAATTCTTTATTGTATTTACTTTTTTAAATGTGAATCTATATTCGAAAATTAGTCATAAAAAATCAGTACTTGGTTGTAAAATTTTTTGAATGTAGAAAAATACGCCGATAAAGAAATTAATTAAATGAAATTTTTATTATGCAAACAAATTTAATGAATAAACAATTTTTTTAATGAACTAAAATTTTTTGAAAATAAATCATTTTTAATTAATTAAAAATTTCATTAAAATAAACCTTCAGATAAAATAATTCAAGCGATGTGATTACTAAAAAATCGCGGGTAGCATAAAAATTCCGTGAACGCTGTTAGCTCAGAAAATAAAGGCGCATTTAACTCAATTATTTCTTTCTGAATTTGGACAATAAAGAGTAGAGCGTAGGAAAGGAGACAAGATCGATAACTCAGGTGTAGAGTTGCAGTAGGTAGAATAGAAGAGAACACAGGTTGTTATGCACGATTTCAGCATTGCAGCACATGGCAACGAGAAATCCGGTACACGACAAACTCTACGTGACTCATTATTTTCGGTAAATTATTATGCACCAAGCCTTCCTCTACTCGCGCGAGTGACTACTGTTCTATACCGCGGCTACCTCTAATTAATCGGCGAGGTAATTATGCCATGTGTTCGTTCTCTCGCGAATCCAAATAATCGGCCAATATATGTCTGTCAGCTCTGTTTCTCTTCTCCTCATAGAATATTATGTCTCTATACGCCCGAATATATTCGACAAGTAATATACATGCATGTACAAACATACAATACTCACACACTCATACGTGCACGCCTATAAGAGTATTTGGACGATTTATATATACGATATACATACAATAAATTTTAATTGTACATTTTGTGTAGTCTTCCGGATCGTTTGTCCAATTATATTGACCAAAGAAATACACAATCGACATTTAATTTAATCCTACATACTATTTACATACTCTATTATGTATTTTATAATATACTGGTAATTTATTGTTTACCTTTTTTGTAATTTATGGCCGTTATGATCTCACTGTTTATTTATATCAATTTCATATAATGACATATCATAGATTATTTATTATCTTATCGATTTATTAATAATAAGTACTTGATATGTATTTTGCGCTTATTGTGAAAAGTTATTGAAGGAATATTTGTGAATTTTTTTTAGGTTGATAAAAAAAAATTTTTTTTTTTAATTTTAAAATTAAATACATTTTTTTCAAAACTAATTTTTTGAACCGGCTTAAGAACTTTTTGGTGAAAAAATTTTATAAAATTAAATGAATCTTCTAATTACATTTATGAACATATGTTTTAAATGTGTAGTTTCAGAATTTTTTAAAGCAAGTTTAATCTAAAATTCATTCAAAATAGCAAAATTAATAAAAACCTTTCTCATAAAAAATTAAATTTCTCACAAAAAAGTGTCAATATTTTATTCAGAATTTTTACTTAATTTTTTTATTGGATTACTTCAACGAACAAACAATTTATCAATAAATTTAATTGCTCAAATTTTACAAAACAAATTGATGAAGACAAAAAGTTAATTAAAACTATTCTTATAAAAAATTAAATTTTATTTCTTGCAATACAAACTATTCTACTTAATTAAAATAAAAAAACGAATTGACTGTTCGTATTTCACCAGTTTATAAAATATTAAATTTTTTATTGTTCTCGTAAAATTTTTCAACAATTCGTGGCATTGCAATATGACGTTACAGTATATTACAAAATGAAATGTCCCGATATTGCAGTATCACTGACAAGCTGTCACATTTTTTATATAAAAAGAGTTCTGCTTTTTCGAATAATAACGAAATAGTACTATAAAATAACTGTGTGCTTTTAGCAATTTATGTTTTAGTTCCAATGTCGCAACTATTAAAAAATAAAATATTTAGATAACCTTTGAATTGAAAACAGCTTTGAATATTTTCATAACTGCGGTGGAATAAAAAGCAAGTTTATGCAGGCTTAACAATCAAAGTCATGCAGACAATTTGCAGATGCACCAAACCAAGACACCGAAACGTTTAACGTATAAACTAACGCGGAGCATTGCGTTCTTTATTGATTCTTGTAGACATTTAATATACACACATACCATGAAATTCCGTATCGTACCGATATATCAAACTCTGCCGTTTTGATTAGCTAAATAAATAAACAAACAACTCTGGCGATCGCAAGGGCGATTCTGACGTACACTAAACATATAAATAAATCTATATTCTCAGTCAAGGGATTAAAATCTGATAAAATTATTTGCTGTAATTATTTTTAAGATTAAATTATAAATCGTTTTTTTATTTTATTTCGCAGCCAATTTTTGTTTGTAGTAAAATAAACTGTTGAAAGATAACATTCATTTTTAATATATACAAATTTTTTTTAATGTTGGCTTATCAGTATTATTTTACTGAGAACTGAAAAGACCAACAATAGCTAAATATTTTTGATGCAATGTCATTCGGATTTTAAAAATAAAAAATTGAATGTTATTTTATTTAATCTTAAGTACGATAAATTTGAAAAGATAATTATGTTTATTGAAATTTAAAAATAAGTGACTTGTTTGGCAAAAATAAATTGAGATTTTGCAAACTGTTTAGGCATTAACATTATTTCAAAATAATACCGACTCGTTTAAAGTTTGTCATTAAAACTAACAAATGGTCTTATTTCTGCTTTTTTCTGTATCATCAAAAAAAAAAAGCCTTAAATACTTTTGGAATTTGTTAAAACTTTATTTACTTGGCTGAAGGTGAATCCGACATTAAAACAGTTTAAAGTTGAAAGTGAATCCGACATTAAAAGAGTTTAAAGTTGAAAAGCTGAATTTTTAATGTGTTTTTAATTGATATTAAATACGCATGAAATAATTTTTGGAAAAAAGTCTGACCAAGAGTAAGATTTTTTGTGTAATTAGTTATTAAAATCGAACTTTTAACACGTCATCATTTACTGTCACCCATAGTAAAAATTAAAGTTGTTGAATGATAACGAAATTCGTTTGAATTGATGAGAATTATTTTCGTTTGAAGAATTTGGTGATATCGATTGAAGATAGTATACTGTTGAAAATACAAGTCACAATAATAATCGATTGGAGATACAAAGATATTAATCCAAGAATTTTAAACCAAGAGAATGAATTTTTGAATCAAATCAAATAGTTATCTTCAAAATAATATAAGTGGCTCAACATTTCTCTTCAGCTAAAATAGTTGTTGTAACATACTTGCTTCAAATTGCCCAATTATTCAACAACTTACTCAGAGAAATCTTTTCTGGTTTCGGTCATAAAGATGTGGGAAGAGTTACCTAGTGAAATTGTAAATTCAAGCAGCTTGGAAGTGTTTAAAAGCAAAGTCTTTGACTATTTGTTAGTCTTGGACTATTAATAAAAACTGTCTGATGGTGCTTACACGGAGAGAAATTTATAGGAATCTTTCCAACAATTATGGGAATGGATCCTATAATAAAATTATCATTATAGGCATTAATCCTATACTCATTATGGGAACCATACCCATAATTTATTGGAAACGTTCCTATACAATAACGGAATAGCTTCAATATATTATAGGAATGGTTCCTATAATATTATGGGAATGACGCACATAATAATAGAAAAAAGTTTATTTTCTTAATAATGAAGCAATCACTTTAAAAATATAAAATAATTATTATGTATTTTTTTGCTAATAAAATTTTTTTTTGTAATTGATTTTAATTAATTTTTAATTAAATTTTTTTTTTTTTTAATTAATTTTATTTTAATTTACAAGCATGTATACCATTCAAGATTAAAAAAATATCAACTGCTGCAACTGATTAATTTCATAATGATAACAATAATAAATATTATTACTGATAACTTTTTTTATCAATTTATATATTATAAAAAAAGAATCACTTAATCAAAAAAAAATAAATCTAGTGAAAAGTAATTAATTAAATACCACAGTTGTGTGAAAAAAAATTACTCTAATATTATTGGCATCATTCCTATAATATTATGGGAATAGCCTTTAGATCATTAAGATTATTAATTTATCAAGCCATATTATCATATCAAGTCATATTATCATATTATTGTTAATTATAATATCACTAATTTATCGAAAAATTGTTAAGGAATAAATAAGTAGTGAGATCTTTTGTATAGTGATAGGAGTTTTCAGTTGAATCTATCTTATATCTTATATCTTATATCTTATATTGTTTTTTACACTTTATAATTATGTTCATTATTATGTATTCTCATTTTTTACTAGTATTTAATTTTAAATATTCTATACTTGTATCATGTACTTCAAATTTGCCATTTGGCCTGTGCCTTGGCATAATAAAACACCAATCTAAATCTTAATCTAACATTGTAGTTAATGTAGATGCATAAAATTTTTGGCAACATTTAAATCACTTTTTTTTTTGTATACAGAATATTTAATTCGATTTTTGAAGCTACACTTATTTAAATAAATCCGAAAAGTACTTATAAAACAATTTTGCTA